GTAATGATCTCAAAATTTGCATTGTCTGACGTGCTGTCTGGGCACTCCGGTCCACCTCCGAGGCCGGGGCGCACAGTTTGAGTGCAAATGGACCGCATCTGATATGGGATCAAGAGGTTAAAACCAGGAGGGAGTGTTGCTAATATTGTGAGTACAGTAGAAAATACTAAATACACCTCCACATCAAAGACAAAATTTGACTGTTTTATGTTCCTTTGAGCTAAAACGTTCGGAAAAATATTAGAGTAATTGTTGGAAAGAGCAATGAGTATACTGATATGTAATTAGCAGTATGGTTTGTATTGATAATTAGTACACATGATACACCTATGAATACTGCACATCTCCATAAACAAAATCACATTTATACCAGTATTTATAATAATATAAAATGTGTACATTTGTAACAGTGTGATTGACAGTATGTAATTGGGTACAGGAAAAAGAAAGAAGAGAGTCAACACCAAACTTCCAAATATAAATGAGATTTATTCCACCAAAAGTGGAACCAGCAACATTTTGACCTTTATCAAGTCTGGGTTTCACCATACCACATACAGCTTAAAAGAGGAGTTACAAGGTAGCATGGTTAGACTTTTAAATATAATAGTGTGAATATATACAAAATGTCATTCTTGTAAAATGAATTACACAAATGTATAAAAAGGATACCTTACAAAAATGAATTATACAAAAACTAGATGGAGATGATGGGGAAGAAGGGGCAGTTGACAAAAAGTGCAGGAGAGGAGTAGCATCAGGAATACCACTGGCAAGGAGGGGATGGGAAGATGGAGAAGGTAGATAATCTAGCTAAAAGTGTGTGCTGTCAGGTATGAGAGGAGCATGGGTGTGGGCAGTGGAATCAGAGCAGCCAAAGTATAAAGTAAACAGTGATGAGGAGAGACAGAAGGGTTACAACTTTTCTCAGATGAAGATACTGTTGCACCTGAGCTATGTACTTTGGCCCATGATGTGAATGGCTGGACAGGTTGCCATAACAGCAGAACCAAAATAGCCACCTAGTAACTGCACTGCTTACACGAAACTACTGCCAACACTGTCAAAATCTTAACAGAACTAAATGACATTGCATAGGCCAAACATGAAAGAGAAAAATAAATCAAACACTTGGTATGTGAAGACTTTATTCTGACATAGTGATTGCCCTTATATTAAGCTATTTGCTAGTACAGTGGGAATTTAGATGAAAATTATAGGCTCTGATTAGCCATTGCTTGCATTGTATCATCCAATTTAGAATACTGAGAAAACTAATTTTACTCACCGTAAATTCCTTTTTCCTTAATATGGTGGCAGTACAATAGGGATGTACTCTTCCCTCGGGACAAGCATCTGAAATAAATAATTAACATAAAATGTTCCCCCCTTACCAGGTATAAGAGACCAAACCAGCCCTGGGACCTCAGTACATACCAAGAACACCTCAGTGAAACCATAGAACACCAAAAAAATTAATATATACATAAAGGGAGGGATTGATGTGAGGCACACGCTTTTTCGGCCCAAGAGGCAGCCATGTCTCTAGTAGAATGTGCTTTCAAGGAGGCAAACAGAGGTAGATTCGAGG